TTATTAAGGAGAGGGGGGGGGGGGGGGGGGGATTAATTGTGCCTTGAATTTTTAAAACGACAAATAATTTGAGACAACTAGATGGAAGGAGTAAACTGTAGTAGTTTAGTTTAATCAAGAGTTGGACAAACTCTAAAGCAAATGGAAATACTCTCTCCGTTTATTTGTACTTGTCACAGTTTGACTTAGCACGTTCATTAAGAAAATAATAATTTATATAGGTATTTTACCCTACTATCCCTATTAAATGGTGTTTAGTATTAGATATTAAAAAATGACTTGGAGAATGCTGAGGGTAAAACATACAGAAAAAAATAATTGTCTTTTCTTGATACGTCAAAAGTGATGAGTAAAAATGAAAATCTATTTTAGGAACAAGTAAAAGTGAACGGAGGGAGTAACTGGTAACAAATGTATCAATGCCTATTATCTATATATAGTCGATCGAGAAAATAAATACACACTAATCAAGCAAACCTGATTAATTATTAATGAAAGATTAGCCCAGTTGTCATCTAAAGTCAACGAACCCAAGTTGGACGAAACTTAAATTTAATTGAACTCACATGCAATTAAGTTCAAGGACCTTCTAAAATCCAAAGCCTCCATTTTTTTCAATTCTTCAAAGTTTTTTGTATCATAATAATGGAGGGGTATGTTATAGCAATCATATTATTTCTTTTTGCGTTTGTTGTATCTGTTATTTTCTTCACTTTTTGTTATAAAAAAGGCAACAATAACAAGCAGCGTCCTGCGGGGATTAATGGGAGGCGAAGAAATAGAGCGTCAATTTCTGATCAAACTTATGGTTCTGATGGAATAGGAGGGGGAAATTATAATGGCAATGACGCGAGTGGCGGTGGTGCTGCCTTCGTGGCTGGCGCTGCTGCCATGTCAGCAGCTTTGACGAGCATAGCTATAGATGGTGATGGTGGTGGTGGTGGTGATGGTGGTGGAGGAAGTTGACTTGGTCAAAATCGTAGCTATTAAACTAATATTGTAAGGATAATGTTTACGTGCCACATGCATGTGGCTAGTTTTTTTTTTCCTATTTTATTATGTTATTTTGGTGAGAATTTATGTAATTAGATATGTGATTTGTACAAAATGTTATAATTTAATTTCTTCTTCTTATTTCCCCATAAAAGAATTAGTACTCCTCTATTTGATTATTGAATTAATTGAAATTAATATCCGCCAATATAATATAATGATATTTTATATTAATAAGACATTTACATACATGTTATAGCAGCTAATAACCTGTTTTATTTTCAAGATTATATAAATCTCATTTTTACGTAAAAAATTACACATAAATATTTTTTCATAGTATGAAGATATAAAATATATTGTTGACACTACAAAATACATATAAGTTAAAATTCTTTAATTGTAGTATATCCAAGAAGCATATGCCAACTCATGTGACAAAAAATTGGTGACAAGTTGCTGATAAAATGTGGTTGAACTTATTTAATGTGATATATATATATGCCAATATATTTTACTAATATTATTTTTGTTGACTATAGGATAAAATTTTCCAGCTTCGGTATTATATTGTTTTCTACTGAAGTAGTTTTCAGCTTTCAACCACTCTAATTTTATATCAATCACAAAATTATAAACAAACTCCGTGGGGCTTAACTAGTTTACCAAATAAAAATAAAAAATCTCCCCATTATTTGCACATTTATTAGTATTTTAATTAAACAACTTGATAAGTTCCAATATTATTTTAATCCTACTTAGTGCTACTTAATAATGTTAATCATCCTTCTTCATACGAACAATTAATTAGAACTCAACATGACATCCCTTTTCTCTTGTTTATGTAGCGGAGGCTTCGAAAAGGATCGAAGTATAAGGCGCGATTGGAGCTTTCCTCATTCACCTCCGTTAGATCCTGATTTATCTGATGTTGAAGATGATGATAAATATTATACGTACACACAAAAAAGTGCAACACATACAATTGCTTTAGGAGAGTCCACCACTAAAGTCGTCTACACAAATGATGATGATGATGATGGTGATGGTGCTGATAGTGGATATATTAGTCATGATGAGGGTATTTATTATGGGAATGGTGAGAATAACTCCGTTAATGATAGTGTTAACGGGGTTGATAGTACACCAACGATTGATGGTGGCTATGAATATGACGATGGTGGTGGTGATGATGGATATGCTAGTGCTGATGGAGGAGAGGAAGATGGTGGAGACAATAACTATAGTAGAGATGGTGGGAGTAGTTTCCGCGGTGGTGACTATGAGAGTGCATGAGAAAGTATCACATGCACGATCGATGCATTTGATTGATCAAAGTTTTTAATTTCTTCCAATCCATATTATATGTGCAATATATATTTCTCATCGTTAATCTTTTTTTTTTCTCTTTTTTGTTATGATTTATCGTGTATTGAAGATTGAGTTTAATTATATACATGTTAGTGTGTATTTTTTTTTGTTTATGGTATTAGGTTATTTATATTTGAATGACATTTACATATAAACCTTCTTAAAATGTAATTGTATGGTGTAAATATTTTTTTATGCTGATAGTGGATATAATTACTTACCACTATGTGTAAAGAACTTCTTACACTATTTATAGATAATGACTTTTAAAAATATATATTTTTATCTTGAAGATTTTAAAAATTATCTACTACGATAAGTAAAGATAACGATGGACCAACGTGTATGATTGCATGTTATGGGTGTTAAATCACTCATGATTTGCTTCGGGGTAAATTATAAGTTATAACAATTATTATTATTCCACGATACCACAAAACCTTGTGAATTTTACAACTAACAATATTTTTGAAGAATTTTCTAAAACTCTCATTTCTAAGATAAAATCACATGACCATCAACTTTATATAATATATAAGTTAGAAGGTTAATTATATCAACTTTTATTGTTTATTTCTAATTTTTTTTAATGTATAACCTCCTATATTACAACTTATCTGTTTAGGATTTATTATTATTTTTCTCTAGTTATTATACTACTCCCAAATATTTAATTTAATTTCCCTTCTTAATATATATTTTTTTTTTTTTTTTTTATTATTATTATTTTTATTTTTATTTTTTATTTTTTATTTTTTCAAATGATAGTAACAAATTATAGTAGTTGATTACATTTAGGAAAAACTACATACTATACTATCATATATACATATTTTATCTCTACTTTAAAAATATTACATAGAGTATCACTTTTTAATAAATATACCATATATTTTACAAAATTAAATCAGATACACAATGCCTAAAAGTATAGTAGTAAATAATTATCTTAAAATTACATCTCCTTAATTAATGGGACATTAATAATTCAAATTAATTTTATTTATCTTCAATTCAGCCCGCTTTCCTCCCCAATCTCAAAATGTTTGTATCCTATTCACACTATCCCACCCTCACCCCTTCTTCCCCACTCCCACACGTATCCCTCATTACCCCTTCTTCCTTAATAATTCAATACACCTTTTGCATGTACACGATTCATATCCATCTCTACATAATCAACATTAGTTGAAGTGGTAAAGTAAGGTTTCAACCGTATCTGAATCAATGTTTTAAATTTTTTTAGCCAATAGATTTTAGAATTTTTACATTGTTTGAGTTTGTTATTTCTCCATTCCATTTTAATGGCTCATAATTCAAAAAAATGGCATGAATCTTGTTAAAGGGATTGTTAATGAACAATAAATTTTTGAGAATAGAACTAAGTATAGGAACGATTCAATCAAGATGAAAGAATTACGTTAAGCTTTAATTAACAAAAAAAATACACCATTAGATGCACATCAAGTGCAACAATGTTGGATACACATCAGGTGTACATGTATCTAGTTAAGAGTTCATGTATCTGAGTTAAGATTATATGTATTTATGAGAAAAAAATATCAAATCCTTAAAGAAAGGGAGAATTTTGAATTTTTTAACTTTTTTTTTTATTAATGATAAGATAAATACCCCATCGTCGTGATTTGTTCCTAAATTCGTGTGTTTCAATTACATTTCATATTTAGATACACATAATTATATGTGTGTTTACTATGTATCTGAGATACATGATTTTAAATATAATGTATGAAATTGATACTTGATATATCGAATTAATAATAGATACATATAAAAGATACATGAAATTAAAATTAGATCATATAAATAGATACATGGAATTAATATTATATCATATAAATAGATACATGAAATTCATACTAGACACATATAACAAATACACAAAATTAATATTAGATACTTCTATGATACACATGTTCATGTACTTGTATGATACTCATGTATCTAAGTGTTTTGTTTGTTGGATACATCATATATTGATAATAGATAAATCAAATTAATGAATTTTATTATTTTAAGAGTAATAAAATGAAATCAATCAAATTGCATGACCAAGATATACATGTTTTTTGTCTTTTATTAATAATAT